TCAGCTCAAGGCGAGCACTCTACCACTTGAGCTACAGCGCCACTTCCAGTTTTCTGGTGGTTTATTGGAGATAGGAGTCTCACGGTCTCTCCTGCCTGGGCTGGCTTTGAAAGGCGATCCTCAGATCTCAGCCTCCTGAGTAGCTAGGATTACAGGCGTGAGCCACCAGCCCCCGGCTTCAAACCAGCTGTTATAAGACTGTTTTTATGGATTCTGTGATACATGTAATTGTAATTAATGTTCATAATCTGTATAATCTTGAATATTCCTATGGTTACATCTGTTGTGGGCTTGGAATCTAAGAAGTCCATTCTCTTTCATCAGAAAAGTTATCAACATGTAAGTGAGCCAGGTGTGGCTCATTACAGATACATATTACAGGTACCCACCTGTAATCCCAGTTATACTGGACTCTGAGGCAGGATGATCACTTGAAGCTATGAGTTTGAAACCAGCCTAGTCAACATAGTAAAACCCTGCCTGTAATCCTAGCTACTCAGGATTCTGAGATCTGAAGACTGTGGTTCAAAAGTGAGCCCTGATGGCAAAGTTCATGAAACTCATCCCCAATTAACCACAAAAAGAGCCAGAAGTGGAGTTGTGGCTCAAGTGGTAGTGCACTAGCCTTGAACAAAAGAGCTCATGGACAGTGTCCAGTCACTGAGTTCAAGCACCAGGACCGGCACAAAACAAAAACAAAAATATTGGTGCTGGGCATCAGTGGCTCATGCCTATAATCCTAGCAACTCAGGAGGCTGAGTTCTGAGGCTCACAGTTTAAAGCCAGCCCAGGCAAGGAAGTCTGTGAGACTCTTACCTCCAATTAACCACAAGAAAACTGGAAGTGGCACTGTGGTTCAAGTGGTAGAGCACTAGTCTTGAGCTGGAAGAGCTGAGGGACAGTACATAAGCCCAGAGTTCAAGCCCTACAACGGACAATAAATAAATAAATAAATGTTACAAGGAAAAAAAGTGAGACTACATAGGAAACTTGAATCTTCTAATTTATAAAATGATCCAGCCTGAGTCTTCTATTGGTCCTGAGTCTGCATGTGTCCTCCATACGACCCAGTGAAAAATTATTCTCTTATATCTTTATAAGGTCCTAGTATGGTAGACTGACTGCACATCTTTTATCTCATATAACAAGGACATGTTTATCAGAAGCTTTCTGCAAGGTCAAACCTACATTTCTGCCTTTTTGCTAGTTCACTCAGATTTACCTGCTTAGAGTGGCTTTGAACCATGATCCTCACATCTTAGTCTCCTGAGTAGCTAGAATTACAGGGGTGAGCCACAAAACACCGGGAAACTTTTTTTTTTTTTTGGGTCCGGTCATGGGGCCTGAACTCTGGGCCTGGGCACTCTCCCTCAGCTCTTCAGCTCAAGGCTAGTGCTCTACCACTTGAGCCACAGTGCCACTTCTGGTTTTTTCTGTTTATGTGGGTGCTGTCCCCAAGCTTCTTTTGCTCAAGGCAAGCACTTTACCACTTGAGCCACAGTGCCGCTTCTGGCTTATTTGAGTAGTTTATTGGAGATAAAGTCTCATGGACTTTCCTGCCTAGGCATGCTTCAATTCAGATCTCAGCCCCTTGAGGAGCTAGGATTATAGGTAGGAGTTACCTATACCCAGCTTATTTGCTAATTGTATGTATCCTATCTTTACGTGTTCTATGAGGGTGGGAGTGGTCACCATAGATGATGTATTTCAGCTCTGGATGATACAAAGGTTTTACAGATGAGTAGG